TACCAAAACAAATGAAATCTGGATTAATTGCTTTGTTGGTGTTTAACTTCTTGAGTTGTTTATATATTCTTGATATTAGCCCTCTCTCAGATGGAGGGTTGGTGAAGATCTTTTTCCAGTCTATAGGCTATTGTTTTGTTTTGATGAGAGTGCCATTTGCTTTACAGAAGCTTTTTAGTTTCATGAGATTCCATTTTCTGTTTGTTGAAATTAGAGCCTGTGTTGTTGTTGCTGTTGTGTTCAGGAAGTTGTCTCTTGTACTAATGAAATCAAGGCTCTTTTCCACTTTTTCTTCTAACAGATTTAGTGCGTCTGGTTTTATGTTGAGGTCTTTGATCAACTTGGACTTTACTTTTGAACAGGGTGATAAATATGGGTCTATTTTCATTTTTCTGCATGTAGACATCCAGTTAGACCAGCACCATTTGTTGAAGATGCTGTTTTCCAATGTATGGTTTTGGCTTCTTGGTTAAAAATTAAGTTTTCATAGGTGTGTGGGTTTATTTCTGGGTCTTCAATTTGATTCCATTGATCCACCATTCTGTTTCTATGCCAGTATCATTCACTTTTTATTACTGTTGTTCTATAGTACACCTTGAGATCAGAGATAGAGATACCTCCAGAAGATCTTTTATTGTACAGGATTGTTTTAGCTATTCTGGGTTTCTTGTTATTCCATATAAAGTTGAGAGTTTTTCTTTTAGTGTCTGTGAAGAATTGTGTTGGTAATTTGATTGGAATTTCATTGAATCTGTAGATTGATTTTTGGAAGAATAGCCATTTTCACTATGTTAATTCTACAGATTCATGAGTATGGGATATCTTTCTTTTTTCTGATATATCCTTCAATTTCCTTCTTTAGAGACTTGAAGTTTTTTGTTTTGTTTGTTTGTTTGTTTGTTTGTTTGTTTCATACAAGTCTTTCACTTGCTTGGTTAGAGTCATTCCAAAGTACTTTATGTATTTTGTGGCTATTTTGAAGGGTGTTGTTTCCCTAATTTCTTTTTCAGTCATTTGTCTTTTGTATACAGGAGGGCTTCAGATATTTTTGAGTTAATTTTGTATCCAGCCACTTTGCTGAAGGTGTTTATCCACTGAAGGAGTTATCTGGTAGAATTTTGGGGGTAACTCATGTATACTATCATATCATCTATGAATAGTGAAACTTTGACCTCTTCCTTTCCTATTTGTATCCCTTTGATCTCCTTTAGTTTTCTTGTTGCTCTAGGTAGGCCTTCAAGAACTATGTTGAAGATATAAGGAGAGAGTGGGCAGCCTTGCCTTGTCCCAGATTTCACTGGGATTGATTTAACTTTCTCTCCATTTAATTTGATGCTGCCCACATGATTGCTGTGTATTGCTTTTACATATTTAGGTATGTGTCTTGTATACCCGAATTCTCTAAAACTTTCAACATGAATGGGTGTTGAATACCACTTCTGGACATATATACCCAAAAGATACTAAACCATACAACAGGGACATTTGCTAAACTATTCATAGCAGCATTATTCATAATAGCCAGAATCTGGAATCAACCTAGATATCCCTCAAATGATGAATGGATGCAGAAATTGTGGTACATTTACAGAATAGAATACTACTCAGCAATTAAAAACAAGGAAATCATGAAATTTGCAGGCAAATGGTGGGAACTAGAAAAGACCATCCCAGAAGCAGAGATAACCCAGAAGCAGAAAGAAATATGTTTTATATACTCACTTATAAGTGGATATTAGCCACATAATATAAGATAAACATACTAAAATCTATAGTCTTAAAGAAGCTAAATAATAAGGAGGACCCTAAGGAAGAGCCTGAAATCTTCCTCAGAAAGGCAAACAGGATAGACATCAGAAGTAGGAGAAGACAAGGAATAAGACAGGAGCCTTCCACAGGGGGCTTCTGAAAGACCCTACCCACCAGGACATTGAATGAGATACTGAGATTCATAGCCAAACTTTGGGCAGAGTGCAGGATAGGGAGACAGAAAACCTGTAGAGGACCAGAAGTGCACAGGAGACCAACAGAGCCAAAAATCCTGGGCCAGGGAGCCCTACAGACACCGATACTCCACCCAAGGACCATGCATGGAGAGAACCTAGACCTGCTCCTCAGTTTCTAAGTGGGTATCCTAGTAAGGGGTACAGGAGCTGTCTCTGACATGAACTCAGTGGCCTGCTCTTTGATCAGGCCCCCATGAGGGATGCAGGCTTGCCAGGACACAGAGGAAGATGATGCAGTTAGTCCTGATGAGATGTGATAGACTAGTGTCATATAGAAGAGGAGGAGGTCCTCTCCTATCAGGGAATGGGAATAGGGAGAGAAGAGGAAGGGTGGGTGGAACCAAGAGGAGATAGAGGGAAGTGAATAGGATACAGCCAGGATACAGAGTGAATAAATTGTGCCAACAAGGACAGTTTCTCAACCATGTTTGTAGCAGCTTTATTTGTAATAGCCAGAACCTGGAAACAACCCAGGTGTCCCAGAAGGGAGGAATGGCTACAAAAATTGTGGTACATTTACAAAATGGAATACTACTCAGCAGCTAAAAACAAGAAAACCATGAAATTGGCAGGCAAATGGTGGGATCTAGAAAATAATATCCTGAGTGAGGTATCCCCAAAGCAGAAAGACAAGCACAGTATATACTCACATATAAGTGGGTACTAGACCTACAAGATAGGATGAGCATACGAAGATCTGTACACCTAAAGAAGATAAACAAGAAAGAGGACCCAGGTAAGATGATCAATCCTCACTTAGAAAATCAAATGGGATGGGCATTGGAAGTAAGAGAAAACAAGTAACAGGACAGGAGCCTACCACAGAGGGCCTCTGAAAGACTCTGCCTATCAGTGTATCAAAGCAGATGCTGAGACTCGTAACCAAATCTTGGGCAGAGTGCAGGGAATCATATGAAAGAAGGGGGAGTTAGTATGACCTGGAAAGGACAGGAGCTCCACAAGGACAAAATATATCTGGGCACTGGGGTCTTTTTTGAGACTGTTTCTCCAACCAAGGACGAGGCATGGATATAACCTAGAACCCCTGCTCAGATGTAGCCCATGGCAGTTCAGTATCCAAGTGTGTATCCTAGTAAGGGGAACAGGGACTATTTCTGTTATGAACTCAATGGCTGGCTCTTTGATCTTCTCCTCCCCCTTCCCCGAGGGAGGTGCAGCCTGCTAGGCCACAAAGGAGGACATTGCAGCCAGTCCTGAAGAGACCTGATAAGTTAGGCTCAGATGGAAGAAGAGGAGAACCTCCCCTATCAGTGGACTTAGAGAGGGGCAGGGAGGAGATGAGGGAGGGTGGGATTCGGAGGGAATGTGGGAGGAAACTACAGCTGGGATACAAAGTAAATAAACTGTAATTAATAGAAAAAATAAAAATTTAATAAATAAATATTGTTAAAGAGAAAAAAAAGAGAGAGAGAAAAGATAGTGGCATCTGTGCTGGAAAGCCACCCTCTGCATACATATGAGTCAGGTTCATCCTAAGAGGGAAGCTCATACTCCAACCAAGGACTATTCGTGGAGATAACCCAGAACCCTGCACAGTTGTAGCCCATGGCAGTTCAGTGTCCAAGTGGGTTACATAGTAATGGGAAGAGGGACTGCCTCTGACATAATCTGATTGCCCTGCTCTTTGATCACCTCCCCTGAGGGGGGAGCAGCCTTACCAGGTCACGGTAGAGGACAATGCAGCCACTTTTGATGAGAACTGATAGACTAAGATCAGAAAGGAGAGGAGAACCTCCCCTATCAGTGGACTTGGGGAGTAACATGCATGCAGAAAGGGGAGAGAGGGTGGGATCGGGAGGGGAGGAGGGAGGGGCTTATGGGGGGATACAAAATGAATAAAGTGTAATTAATAAAATAAATAAAAAAAGAAAAAAAAGAGGGAAGCTGATAAGAATTTGCTGATTTAAATAACTAGTTTCATGCCATATACCGTGGTCCTTCTCTCAAGTGAGTTTTTTACCCTCAGGAATGTAAGTGCTTCTCTGCGGTCCTTGCCAGCACTTAGAGTGTGTACCTGCCTTCCTGTTCTTGGGTGAGTATGGTTGTCAGACAACTCTTTTGCATACCAAAGCTTTTCATTCAAGGACATTGTCTGACATCTTGTATTCTGACTTTTTGGTTGTTTTTCCAGCTCTTCAATAAATATGTATATATCGTCCAATGTTTCCTGATTTTTATTTTATTTGTTTGTTTTCTTTTAATTCTTCAACAAATTTGAATCAAGTGAGATTATCCAGTTGTAGAGACACCACATTGGAGCAAGGCTATAGGTGTGGAGGGTGGTTCCTCTCTTCTATTGTATTCATTCATTCATTCGTTTGTTTGTTTATTTATTTACGTAATTCACTTTATATCCTTGTTGTAGCCCCATCCCTCCCTCCTCCCAGACTCACCCTCCTCTCTTTTTTCTTACCTCTCCCATCCAGACCGGCTCATTGAGAGTTCCATCAGGTCTGAGCATGTCCTCTTCCCTTGTGGTCTGGCAAGGCAGTCCCTACAGGGGAAAGTGATAAAAAGGCTGGCAAGTGAGTCTGTGTCCAATGCAATACCCAGTTCCCTGACTAGAGGACCCACATAGGACCTGAGCTGCCCATCTGGACATCTTTGTCCCCTTTCCTAATCTTAAACGTTAATTTTTCCTTGTTTCTTTTACAAATATTTATTAGTTATTTGAACATTTGTTCAACATGGTTTGTTCATATTCACTTCCTGTCTCCTCTCCCCCCCTTTCCTCTTTTCCCATTCTCCTCTTTTCTTCTGTGTGATACAGAGAAGGAATTCAACCTTGGAACATCTGCCACGTCATTCAACTCTTCTGTTGGGACGTTGGCTTCCATCACTGGAAATAACGTTCCCTGCCGAGTTTAGAGCGGCAGCTTTCTTAGTGACAGTGTCAGTCACCTGAGCCCATAGCGTACACAGGTGCCTCAAAAGACGCCTGAAATTCCCACAAAGAGCTGCTTCTGATAAGCCATGGACCAGGAACCGATGCAAGAGCCCGCTACCACGACGGAGTCTCTAGTGGAAGAAATTGATGACAAAGAACACATGAAGACTTTAATACCGCTGAGAGCAGGCACATATCTGCAAACACTTCCAACTGCCTTCCTTTCATTTTCCCATAAACAAAAACAGAAAAATGTTCTTCCTGCAATTCCGCCAGAGTCAACGGTTGTAAACAACAAAACTTTCTGGGAAAGGCCCTTCGGTTTGGGCCCTCTAGTTGTCCCTGCTTTACAGCGTTTCAACAACATTGACTGCTTCACGTTTTTGTATGTTTTGTCGGTCTTTAGTCATGGTGAGTTTGAGCAGCAAGATTGTTGTGAGAGGAGCGTAGTACACATGAGGCGGACACATGGCGGGAAGGAGAGGAGGGTGGATGACCTCTGACTCGTTTTCCAGGCATGGATAGAATATAAGAAATGGGTCAACATCCATTATTTATTAAATTTTCATAATTGGGAGATAGTACATTTTAAAAGAGTAATAAAATGATACAATCATAATTGATCTTTAAGAAACTACTAATTTGAAGTAAGTAAAAGAGCTTCTAATATTCAACTAAAAATATTTTGTGGAGCTTAATAAATTAATTATATTATAGGTTTTACTCATTCATACCATTATGAAATAAACTTGAGTCAGAATAAATTAGGATTTTTTTTAATGAAAATGGGAGTCTAATTTGTCTATTAAAATGCATTATATTGCTTTTCGTCTTTCTTTTGACTTTCTAGGTATGGTAGTTGCTTTGACTGATCTGAGTTTGCCGAAGTATCAAACCGAATTTTCATTGTCATTAGAGAAATTAGAGAAATTCATGCTGGAGTTCAGTGATTATTTTGCATCTTTCCTGGTAGCTATACCTGTGTCATACTTTGGAAGTAGAGGAAACAGGGCAAAATGGGTGGCAGTTGGCTCTTTTTATTAGGAGTTGCAGCAATTATATTTGCTGTTCCTTATTTAAAATATGAAATTATAAGACCATTGGATAAAACTGAAGGTGAGATTTTTCAAATATAATATTGTATCCTAAGTTAATATTTATTTAAACCATTTGTCCAAGAAATTTAAGAGTTCATGATATATGTCTATGTATCCTTTCTTCTGTATTTATTTAACTATCCTTAATAACTAATTACCTGTAGCTTTCTGATTTATCTCTCATAGAGGGGGTAAGTAGGACTCTAGGAAGCAATATTGTGGGATAGTTTGTAAAATTACTTTTAGAAAATTTTATGTATGTTAAAAAAATCTCATGAGAAGTCTGGTAATCATTTTGTTTCCCACATGATACTTTAATTCTTTATTTTATTTTATTTTTTATTTTTTTTCTTATCAGTTACATTTTATTAACTCTGTACCCCAGCCGTGTCCCGATCCCTCATTCCCACCCAGTCCCTCCCTCCCTCCCTCCTCTCCACCGTGCCCCTTGCCAAGTCCACTAATAGGGGGGACCTCCTCCCCATTCATCTGATCCTGTTTTATCAGGTATCTTCAGGACTGGCTGCAAAGCTCTCCTCTGTGGCCTAACAGGACTGCTCCTCCCTTGGGGGGGGTGCAACCAAGGACCATGTCTGAATGTAACCTAGAACCTCTGCTCAGATACTTTAATTCTTGTTGTTGTTCTTTTCATAGCACAGACCCACATATGTTCAAATACAGGAATAAGCCCACACCTAAAAAGGGGTAACTTTTCTACTTACCCTTACCAATTCAAGACTTAGACGCTATTCTTTGCTATTTGGATAGCTGAAGATGGTGCCTTTTCACATTGCTCATTGTTTATCCTACATTCACTAATACATTCACTATTCCTAGTGAATAATATTTACTTAAAATGTTGTTGGAATATATCTCTAACACTATTGCCCAAATCCCAGATCTTGTGTACAGGCTTTTATATAAGTATTAAGTTGGGTTTTAACAATGCATGATAAATAAGGGAGAGGAATCTATGTGTGTGTGTGTGTGTGTGTGTGTGTGTGTGTGTGTGTGTATAATGCTTTTGAAGTTTACATTGCATGGTATATTTATGCTTTTTATAAAACATTCAATTTAAAAATAGTTAATATGAAGCACAACTATTTTAATATTAATATAGCTATATAATACACTATGCATACAAATGTAAGAACTGTATATTATATATTTTAATATGTCTATAGAACTGACATTTGCTTTGAAGACAATATGATTTATGAAAAGAGGGAATGAAAAACGTTTCTTTACTTTATTAACAACATTGTTTGGATGAAATTATAAAATCCTCATGAATTTATCTTGTTAAATAATACAAATTTTGATCAGTAGTTATGTACTACTCTTGCAGAGAACCTGAGTTTGTTTGCAAGCATGCACATTAAGCAGCTAAGAACCCCCCATAACTAAAACTGTAGGAAATCTGATACCCTCTTCTAGCTTCTGCAGGCACTGGCTTACACAAACACACAAACTCAATTTTTAAAAATAAAAAAATATTTAAAAAAACTGTTATCAGTGCTGAGGAGTCACAGCAGTAAATATTTTTTCTTTCTATTGAATCTTTTTTTGAATTAAAATATTTTATTTATTTTACTTTATTTTTTTCTTATCAGTTACATTTTATTAACTCTGTATCCCAGCTGTATCCCCCTCCCTCATTCCCTCCCAATCCCTCCCACCCTCCCTCATCTCCACCCTGCCCCTTTCCAATTCCACTGATAGGGGGGCACCTCCTCCCCTTTCTATTGAATCTTGTTCACATCATCTACATTTCTTTTGTTTTTTTTCTAGTTTACTAATAGGTTTACTTTCTTTTTTTTTGTTTTAATTAAATTTTTTAAATTTTTTTTATTAATTACACTTTATTCATTTTGTATCCCCCCATAAGCCCCTCCCTCCTCCCCTGCCGATCCCACCCTCCCTCCCCTTTCTGTATGCATGCCACTCCCCAAGTCCACTGATAGGGGAGGTTCTCCTCTTCTTTCTGATCTTAGTCTATCAGTTCTCATCAAAAGTGGCTGCATTGTCCTCTACAGTGGCCTGGTAAGGCTGCTCCCCCCTCAGGGGGAAGTGATCAACGAGCAGGCCAATCAGATTATGTCAGAGGCAGTCCCTCTTCCCATTACTATGTAACCCACTTGGACACTGAACTGACATGGGCTACACCTGTGCAGGGGTTCCAGGTCATCTCCACGAATAGTCCTTGGTTGGAGTATGAGTCTCTGGGAAGTTCCCTGTGTTCAATTATCTTGTTCTGTTGCTTTCTTTGTGGAGTTCCCGTCCCCTCCAGCTCTTACTATTTCCCACTTCTTACATAAAATTCCATTCACTCTGCCCATCAGTTGGCCATCAGGCTCAGCATCTGCTTTGACAGTCTATACTGCAGAAGCTTTCAGAGGCCCTCTGTGACAGGTTTCAAGGTTGTTTCCTGTTTTCTTCTGGCTTTCAGAGGCCCTCTGTAGCGGGTTCCGAGGTTGTTTCCTATTTTCTTTTTCTTCTGATGTCCGTCCTCTTTGCCTTTCAGGATGGGGATTGAACATTTTAGTTAGGGTCCTCTCTTTTGCTTAGTTTGTTTAGATGTACAGCTTTTAGTGGGTTTATTCTATATTGTATGTTTATATAAGTGAGTATATACCATGCATGTCTTTTTGCTTCTGGGACAACTCACTCAGGATGATCCTTTCCAGGTCCCACCATTTACCTGCAAATTTCATGATTTCCTTATTTTTCATTGCTGAGTAATACTCCATTGTATAGATGTACCACAGTTTCTGCATCCATTCTTCAGTTGAGGGGCATCTGGGTTGTTTCCAGCTTCTGGCTATTACAAATAAAGCTGCTACAAACATGGTTCAGCAAATGTCCTTTTTGTGTACTTGCACCTCTTTTGGTTATATGCCTAGGAGTGGTATGGCTGGGTCTTGAGGAAGCGCTATTCCTAGTTGTCTGAGAAAGCGCCAGATTGCTTTCCAGAGTGGTTGTACAAGTTTACATTCCCACCAGCAGTGGAGAAGGATTCCCCTTTCTCCACAACCTCTCCAGCATGTGTTGTCACTTGAGTTTTTGATCTTGGCCATTCTCATGGGTGTAAGGTGAAATCTCAGGGTTGTTTTGATTTGCATTTCCCTAATGGCTAATGAGGTTGAGCATTTTTGTAAGTGCTTCTCTGCCATTCGATATTCCTCTGCAGAGAATTCTCTCTTTAGCTCTGTTCCCCATTTTTTAAGTGGATTACTTGGTTTGTTGCTTTTCAGCTTGTTTAGTTCTTTATATATATTGGATATGAGTCCTCTGTCAGATAAAGGGTTGGTGATGATTCTTTCCCAATCTGTAAGCAGTCGCTTTGTTTTGATGACAGTGTTTTTTGCTTTACAGAAGCTTTTCAATTTCATGAGGTCCCATTTATTGATTGTTGCTCTTAGAGCCTGTGCTGTTGGTGTTCTTTTCAGGAAGTTTTCTCCTGTACCAATGTGTTCTAGGATATTCCCCACTTTTCTTTCTAGCCGATTTAATGTGTCTGGTTTTATGTTGAGGTCTTTGATCCACTTGGACTTCAGTTTTGTGCAGGGTGATAAGTATGGATCTATTTTCATTTTTCTACATGTAGACATCCAGTTGGACCAGCACCATTTGTTAAAGATGCTATCTTTTTTCCATTGTATGGTTTTGGCATCTTTGTCAAAAATCAGGTGTCCGTAAGTGTGTGGGTTTATTTCTGGGTCTTCTGTTCGATTCCATTGATCTACCATTCTGTTTCTATGCCAGTACCATGCAGTTTTTATAACTGTTGCTCTATAGTACAGCTTGAGATCAGGGATGGAGATACCTCCAGAAGATCTTTTATAGTAGAAGATTGTTTTAGCAATTCTCGGTTTCTTGTTATTCCATACGAAGTTGAGATTTTTTCTTTCCAGGTCTTGTGTTGGCAATTTGATGGGAATTGCATTAAATCTGTAGATTGCTTTTGATAAGATGGCCATTTTTACTATGTTAATCCTGCCAAGCCATGAGCATGGGAGATCTTTCCATCTTCTCATATCTTCCTCTAATTCTTTCTTCAGAGACTTGAAATTTTTTTCATACAAGTCTTTGACTTGCCTGGTTAGGGTTACACCAAGGTACTTTATGTCTTTTGTGGCTATTGTGAAGGGTGTTGTTTCTCTAATTTCTTTCTCAGCCCTTTTGTCTTTTGTATACAGGAGTGCTACTGATTTTTTTGAGTTAATTTTGTAGCCGGCCACTTTGCTGTAGGTGTTTATCAGCTGTAGGAGTTCCCTGGTAGAGTTTTTAGGGTCACTGATATATACTATCATATCATCTGCAAATAGTGATAATTTGACTTCTTCCTTTCCCATCTGTATCCCCTTGATCTCCTTCGACTGTCTTATTGCTCTAGCAAGGACTTCCAGCACTGTGTTGAAGAGATATGGAGAGAGTGGGCAGCTTTGTCTTGTCCCTGATTTCAGTGGGATTGCTTTAAGTTTCTCTCCGTTCAGTTTGATGTTGGCTATAGGCTTGCTGTATATCGCCTTTACTATGTTTAGATATGTGCCTTGTATCCCTGATATGTCCAGTACATTAAACATGAATGGATGTTGAATTTTGTCAAATGCTTTTTCAGCATCTAGGGAGATTATCATGTGGTTTTTTTCTTTCAGTTTGTTAATATGGTGGATCACATTGATGGATTTCTGTATATTGCACCACCCCTGCATACCTGGGATGAAGCCTACTTGGTCATAGTGGATAATATCTTTGATGGGTTCTTGGATTCGGTTTGCAAGTATTTTGTTAAGTATTTTTGCATCAATGTTCATAAGGGAGATTGGCCTGAAATTCTCTTTCTTTGTTGAGTCTTTGTGAGGTTTAGGTACCAAGGTGATTGTGGCTTCATAGAATGAGTTTGGTAATGTTCCTTCTGTTTCTATT